CAGCAGCAGCAGCAGCAGCAGTAGCAGCACGGGGGCGCGCTTTTTTCGGTGGGCTCGATGCAGCGCATACAGTGTGCACCGAGACCTGCATCCAGCGCCCGTCGTGACTGCAGCGGCTCGTCGTTCGCCTTCGAGCTCTGTTGCGTGCCTTACTCTCGGACAGCCGGACAGCTCGCTCGACCCACGTTCTGCGAGCCAAGCGTCGGCCCTTCCCAAGAGCTGCTCCTCCTCGACGGAACGAGCCGAAATCCTTCTCGCGAGCCACAAGCGCGTTATCTGCAATTTCGGTCCGCCTTGCTCGCTTCCGCTTTCCCAAGGAATGCCATGTCTCGCTCGCTCGCAAGCCCTTTGCAGCATCCTTGCGCCAGCCCTCGATCTTGACAGCTCATATCGCTCCTGCATCTCGATGACATCTGCCGCTCGCCGATCGTTTCCGAGACCGTCACAAGATCGCACGAGGCATGCTGGATGAGCGCGCCGCTGCTATCGAGAATGGAAGCGCTCGGCACTTGAGCTTGGACTCGGAGTCCTGCTTTCCGCCCTCGATGGTCGGACGTCGCCGAGAGGCGCTGCCAAAAAAAATTCACACGAATCCACGCTGTTGGAAATTCGCTTTTTCAGAGAGGCATATGCATCGCATCGCAGCAAACCTTAGGCGCAAAGCTCCGCCTCGGATTTGCTCGCTCGTCATCCCAACCGGTCCCCGCAGCCGCTCGCCCGCGGTCGTCCGAGTGAGCCCACGCCATTGCCGAGCGAGTTCAGAATGGCAATGGGCGTGGGCAGGGGCGACAAACAAAGTCGGTGGCAGTTGCGAATGTGGGCCGACGTCGGCCCCGTCTCCGCCGACCGATGCAAGCCCCCGGTCCAGCACTCGCAGCTCGCATTCAAGTGGCCGGTGACTGACGCCAGCTGGGAGGTTCAAACCTTGTACGGTGTGCAGATGCAGCAGGGTTTCTCGGGCTTCATTTGGCTTTCTTTCTGCCTATGGCTTTCTTAGCTTGGCCGAACCGATTCTGATGCACTGCTGATAATGGAATGGCTCGTGTCGACCGGTCTCGCGATCTTGGCTGCTGGTCATGCGAGGTGCTCGGATTCGATGCATGATGCTGACCTTCTCCCTTCGACTCGACTTGGCTCGACTAGGATGGTCTCGCCTGCGCGCATCCTTGCACGTCTGACGTGCAGCGGCTCCTAAGCGAGGCGACGGCGTGATCGCGCGCTCGCCTCCGCCTTAGGCCACGGAGGGGTCCAGTCTCGCTCCTCGCTCCTTGGCAGCATCGAATTCGCCGCTGCTTCTCGACGCATGCAATTCTAGCCCGCATCGGCTGTCACTCTTTTTTTCAAAATGGGGGTGCGACCCTCGCCTCGTCTCGCCGCACTCGATAGGATAGTATCGGCCCGCCAGTAGCAGTTGACAGTCGTTCCAACCGAGGCTTGCACCGTCGGAGGCATGGTCCTTCCCGCGCTTTGCGCTAGCCGACCGGTGACATAACCTCGCCCATACACAGCTCTAAATCAAATGCCACACTCCGCCTGCGAGTATCTGCACTGCGGAGTCGTCCGATCGCCGCCATCCACCACCGAAATCGAGCGTAAATTGCAGCTCGCGATTGCCGCCACACCAAACCACCAACTCCAAGCCCCGCACACAATGGCCAAAGCGCGCCAGCATCAATTTATTAAATTAAGTGCGGAAGGCGAATGTGCATGTGCGATGACCCAAAGACGCGCTTTTCCCTCGGCCTCGAGAGAAATGCGTCCACGACTTCTCTCTGCGAAAATGCCCTCCGGCGTCTCTTCGGCGTCCCCTACCGGCCTCTGCAATGCAGTACAATGCAGAACAGCATCCGCTGGCTTGTGTTCCTGGATAGAAACCCCACTCGGTGCTTAAATCATCGTACAATGGTCGGAACCCGATTTGAGGCATTGTGCAGAGACGAATCGGACGGGCGCTCGGCGATAACATCGTCATGGAGCATACGCTCCGCGCCTTTCCGTATGCAAGGCGACTCTATTACTGCCAGCTCCGTCGACGAATTCCTGTCTCGATCTCGACTAGAGCACCATCATTGTATGCAGTGGACCGACGCTTTGGTGCTGCGTCGTCATGACCGAAGCTGGGTGCTGTCCGAACGAAGATTTCACGATCGCGAGCTCCGACATTCCTGCTCCTGGACATGTGCTGGCTTGGAGGGTCATGCGGCCGGAGTGGGTGAGTGAACAAGACGGGCCGAGCGAACGATCCGAACGGGAACACGTGCGTTGGCACATCAGCATTGCGGAAAGGTCTGCTGCTTCAGCATGGGCTGCAACGTCCATTCCAGTTGCCAATCGGTCGATCCGCTGACCAGGAACCCGTGCGGGGGCGATCCACGCGTCCTGCGATCTGCGGATTTGTGCACCCAAGCGCGCGCGTCCAATTTACGCGAGCCGACACGCGTGTCCGAGTTGACGTGTTGACGTCCCAAGCCGGCACTTCGCGTCACGTCAAGCATCCGTCGAACGCAGACACGCGTCTGGAAGGGTCTCGCCCTCGGCACCGACCGCCAATCCCGAACACCGGTGCGGAAAAAATCGACGGTGTTAGATTCAGCCTTGTTTTCGAGTGCAGGTCCGCCCTGCGCCTGGGGATCCACACAAACACCAGGCACCCTCACCCGCTCGCTTGTCCCCTGCCTCGAGGCCTCGTTCCATCCGGGGTCAGCCAGCCCAACATAGCCACCAGGTCCGCTGCGGCGCTTTCAGGGTGCCCGACGATGCAGATAGCGAGGCGGCGTTTGAGGCGAGAAGCGTGGGAGAGCGCCTGTTCATTTCGGTGGAAGCGAGGCGTGAAAATTTGCGGGGTAAGGTACGGCGCGGGCAGGCGAGCACCGAAAAGCGGCCCCCTCAATTTCGGAGCAACGGGCTCTTCTGAGCTGCAAATCGTGCAGAGCCACACCCGCTCGCCGCTGGGGGCGGGTCATAACCGGGCAACCCCTCCGGCGAATGCGGCAGTACCGGTTGTGGCGAGATCCTGGAGCCACAATAGCACCGAGAGGCCGAGCAGCCACTTGCGGGCGTTCGGGCGAGGCCTTTGCGAGCCTTACCGGGTCGCCAGCCGAGCCGCTGCTGACCCTCGGACCCCTTCAAACCTTCTATCCAGCTTTATGCGCTTGGAGCGTTGAATAGAGTTCAGGGCATGGCGGAGTGTGGGATGAGGGAGGTGGCGTTGTGGGCCAGGCCCATTGGTGGCGGCGAGAGGATCAAGGGTGGGGGGAGTGGATTAGCCGAGTTCGGGCTCGTGATGCAGCTTTGCCATTGTTCTCCACCGAGCATCTTTGCACCACCTCGCTAGTCGAGCTCTAACCCAGATATCAGTTCCGGCTAAGCAAGAGGGCATGCTCCGACGTAACAACAGCGACGGTGGTGCGGGATCGAGCTTGCAGCTGCGTTGCGCGGGTCGGCAAGCAAGGCCCCGATGTAAGAGCGGGAAGCTTAATCCCGAGGCCTCGAGCGCTTGCATGGGAGCTGCTATTGTGCAGTTTTGAGTGTGACGCCGCACAGCAGAGATAAGACTCGCTTCGCGGGGAAGGTAGCCCTCCATGCATAGATTGATTTTCCCCCCTCTCTCTCAAGCCTTGGCCTATAGAGATTGACGCCACACGTTTTGTGCCACACAACTCTACGCCTTGTGCCTGGGCAGGGACAAGTCAGGATGGTCGTCGGTACCGATTCGAGACGGGTGATCACACGGTTAGGATGGTGCATGGCTGGATTTGTGACTTGCTCGATGGCTAGAAGGTGCGCGATAAGACGTCTTCTTTTCGGCCCCGAGGTATGGCATCATCCCAGACGTGCTTCTGTCTCGGAGTGCTTCATCGGCGCTACACGGTCCACTGTACTCCGTCCAGCGCTTCTGGGATGCAAAGGCTGCAAGATTAGCTGCATACCTCCGCCTAGGCGCCCTTGGGAGGAGCGGACAAACGCAATTTCAGGCGGAGCGTGGAAAAATTTCCAAATGCCCTCAAAGCCAGCATTCGCCAGGAACGGCAAAGCGCCCGCATCGCCGAGCGGGTGAGAAACCTGGCAGAACCGCTTCTTTCTCAACCCCCAAAAGGCGATCGCAAATCTAGGGCCGATCTAATGTCGATCCTCCTCCTCAAATTACAACGTGTTAAGTCGTCGTAGCCCAGAACCGCCGTCAGCCAACACCGCAACTGCGCAGCTTGGCATTTGGCTCGGTATGTCGATGTGTACCGGTGCCAAGATGAGCTCGGTCCTTTGCAAGATAGCGAGGTAAGTCGAGCGAAGGGGACCCCAGGGTCGCACGAGCCACGGGCATCGCGTGCCTCAGGGCGATCCGTGCGACCCCCTTGCAGCTGGGTTCCCGCGCATCCCCTGACCTTTTGCTGCTCCCGCGGTACAGCACGCGGCAGGCAAGGTTAGGACCTCGCTTGGTCCCCCGCATCCCCCTCTCCCGCTGCACGGCGCTGTCAAACCTTGTCCTCTCCAAACATTGGACACATGCCTGTGCCTGCGATTTCAATCTCGTCCCTTGGCTCCATCTAGTTCATCCGCTTGGAGTCTGTTCGCTTCGGCACGGGTGGTGACACACCACTGCCTACGTCGGTCCGGAACCAGGCCTTGCTCGACCCGTGCCTTGTCAAGTGGACCTTGCGAGCTAAACCGAGATTTGGACGAGATCGAGGCGCATCAGTCGCAGATCCTAGATGCGATTCGTAGCGACGAGACAAGACGATTTGCGGGCTAGGCACGGGGAATGTCACTATCCTTCACGGAAGGACTGAACGCTGTTCCGTGTTGGACATTGGACATGTGCCCACTGCATGCCGCGGCTGTGCGGAACCTTACGAGATACGACGCAGCGGGTGGCAAGCGAATCCTGAGCCGAGGCCTTTGCCAAGGTTCGCCGGTCTGGCATGCCTGCACCCCCACCATACCTTTCCGTCTTCCGAGGACAGGTGGCCACCCAGATGTACGCCATGCTCGCGGCAAACAAATCGCAGCATCTTATAGGGGCGAATGCTATGCAGTGTGCAGAACGGCGCAGTGTATACCTTGGCGAACGCTCAACAGATTTGTCTTGCATGCAAGGGGGTTTAGAGTGTCCGTGTCATAACCGAGTCCCAACTTGCCCGTTGCTTACTCCACGTCCAGGTTTGCAATGAATACACCGTATCCCTCGAGGATCGGTCGAGTGATCATCAAGTTGGCCGTTGGTGGCGAATATGTCGCTTTACGATAAGGGACGCCGCAGCCACAGTCTCGCCTGGGCGCTTGCGTCGGGTGGCGAGGAAGAGACTCTCTGTGGCTTGCCAAGCGCACATGCCGGGTTGTGGATATGCGCGCTGCGGGTCACATGCGTTTTAACTTTCGCCTACACGGCGTTTGCTCGTCCATCCGAGTCGAGCTCGCGCTGCCTTCCTTCTCGCCCCACCCAAAGGCGCTCGGCTGCTAGTTCAGCTTGCAAGGCGCAGCTTTGGAAGAGTGGGAGCTACGCAGCTTTGGAAGGGTAAGAGCTGAGCAACAAGACCTCAGTCGTTGAAGTCGATAACTGTATGTTAGCGCGTCGCATCAAACATGTTTTTTTCGACAAGGCCGGACCTTTGCCTTAACACGGAGTTTTGTCCGCGACGACGCTATCGCACGAAATTACATTTGGCGCGCACTCGCGGTTCCGAATTTCGCGCGAATGCTTGGTAATGCGATCGTCCTGAGGCCAGGAGAAGGCAGCGAAAGCAGCGCTGCAACGCCCACACCGAGTGGACAGTGCCGTCATCCGCTTTGTCGCCACCATCTCTTGCATCTTGATCCACCTGTACATCGCTGCAAAGATGGCTGCTCTTCGCTCGCTTTCCCGAGTCGGTACGTACAAGCACCATGCACAGTGCAAGGCGGCACAGACACGCACTTCGACGCACCAACGACACTTGTAGCTGACCATGCCTTGACCTTTCCTCCACCCACCCGACCGCTATGCGACCAACTGCAACCGACGACCTTCGATGCATTTCCTACCTTTGGACAAACTGCAGGCCTTGCTGCCAAGCCTTCGATGGCGCTGACGCGCTCGTTCCAGACGTCGACGATCCAGGCCGTGCCCAAGGTGGCTGCTGCCAGTGCGCAGGGTGCTGGACCCTCCAAGCCGGCCGCACGCCGATCGATCTCGTCGTCCGCACCCGCCTCGAACGCCGGTCCGGATGGTCCCGTCCCTCTGATGTCCGTGGCGAACCGCGGCTCGAACCAGCTGTCGCTGGAGACGCCCAAGAACGGCGTCGAGTACGTGCTGTCGTCGATGGACAAGATGGCCAACTGGGCGCGCCAGTCGAGTTTCTGGCCCATGACGTTCGGTCTGGCATGCTGTGCCGTCGAGATGATGCACGTCGCTACGGCGCGATACGACCAGGACCGTCTGGGTGTCGTGTTCCGTGCATCGCCGCGTCAGTCGGACTGCATGATCGTCGCCGGCACGCTGACCAACAAGATGGCTCCGGCGCTGAGGAAGGTGTACGACCAGATGCCAGAGCCGCGCTGGGTGATCAGCATGGGTTCGTGCGCTAACGGAGGCGGATACTACCACTACTCGTACTCGGTCGTGCGTGGATGCGACAGGATCGTACCCGTCGACCTGTACGTGCCCGGATGCCCACCTACCGCAGAGGCTCTCCTCTACGGATTCCTCCAGCTCCACAGGAAGATCAGGAGGAACAGGAAGACCACTCTGTGGTACCGCAAGTAAACCGCACTCATCCATCGCTCAGCTTGGTCTGGTTCCCTAGTGCAATACAGCCTCGTCCTCATCCGCAACGGTTTCACAGCGACTTGGTGGCGGTAATGTGAGGCCAAGATGTGGTATTTGGGTGTGTGTGTGCAGAAGACTAAGAGCAGAAGTGGGCGAGCATCAGCCGAACCACTTGTAGATGTACCAGAAGCAGACGAGGGTAAAGATGGCACCCAGGGCAAAGATAATGTTGTCCTGTGTGCTTCTGCGTTCGATGTACCCAATCACGTCTCTGCTGAGGCCGAGGGTATTTGCGGCGTCTCTGAGTCTTCGCTGTGTGCCCTTGAGGATGCCGCGCTGTTCGACGAGGTTGCCAAACACCTCTCTGCCCTGGGCGATGAAGGCGTCGAGTTGGGCCTCGGTCTGTTGGATGAACGAGTGTTCGCGCAGCGCATGCGATTCGCGCGCTGAGAATCCGCCGCCTTCGCCAAACATGGCTGCTGCGCTTGCGTTCATCTTGTAGGCTGCGAGTGGATCCGCCTGTGGCGAAGCGGGCGCATTGCGCGCATGCAGGCTGAACGGAGATTCCGCAATCGCACTCACGCGGCGATTGGCGTGCGACCCGCCATAGTTGGCATTCGTGGGCGATCGGAGCGTCGCCGATCCGTTGCTCTGTGACGAAGCGCCGTTGGAAAGCGTGCCTTTGGTCTTGAGCCGCGCTAGTTGCGATGAGAGTTCGGCATAGTCGGTGCGGAACTTGGCGACGCGCGTGAGCGCCTTTTCCTGTTTCGACTGGATCAGTTCCTTCTTGGCCAAGTTCTCGTACTCGTCGATGGTGCGCTCGAGCGACGAGAGCGACACTGTCACGGGTCCGAATGCGGTGGGCGATGTGTCTGCTTCGGAGTCGATGCGCGAGATGTCGGACTGGATCGACGAGAACTGGCGGAGCGCCTGGTTGTAGAGCGAGTTCATCGTGGCAGCGAGAGGCGGAGGATGGCCTGCTTTGGAGGACGCTGGTGTTGCGTGTGGCTGCTGCTGCTGCTGCTGCTTAGATGCCACGCAGCATGGTGATCGTGCGGATGGCCAGCGGAGGAGTGTTGAAGTGCAAGATGGTGACAAAGGAGGGTGTTGTTCTCCGGCTGCAGCAGCCGTGTGGTCACCACGCAGCCGTTCGAAGTGAGGCGCACCGACCAAGCCAACCGAGCCTCCAAACGTGGCGGCCGGGCGTGTGAAATTACTCTATAGCAATGTCAGATCGACAGACAAGCCGAGTGGCGACGCGCGCTTTCAAATTTGAGAAATTCTTCCTGAAACGATTTTTTTTTTTGACGGCAGGCAGGAATTGTACATTTTTCCAAGATGCGGAAGCAGCATCCACGGCTCCCAGGGTGCAGACGGGCAGACGAGCAGACGAGCAGAAGACGGCCAAAAGAAGGCTCAACCACAAGAAGACGTGCAGATTCATTTTCTTCTTTGACGGCTCTGCAGCTCCATCCCCCTTCTCCACCACCACTCTCCACCCTTCGCCGTCCGCTAAACATCCAAAATGGCGTCCACTTCCACCAATGGCGCTGCCGCCGCGTCCACCTCGGACATGACGTCGCGCGACTACTACGCCGACTCGTACGCGCACTTTGGCATCCACGAGGAGATGCTCAAGGATGAGGTGCGCACGCGCTCGTACCGCAATGCGATCATCAACAACCCTCATCTGTTCAAGGACAAGATCGTGCTCGACGTCGGGTGCGGCACGGGCATCCTCTGCATGTTCGCTGCCAAGGCGGGCGCCAAGAAGGTGATCGGCGTCGACATGAGCAACATCATTGATCAGGCGCGTATCATCACCGAGGTCAACGGCTTCAAGGACACCATCACGCTCGTCAAGGGCAAGCTCGAGGAGGTCGACCTGGGTCTCGGCCCGGACGGTAAGGTGGACATCATCATCAGCGAGTGGATGGGCTACTTTTTGCTCTACGAGTCCATGCTCGACACTGTGCTCATGGCGCGCGACAAGTACCTCGCGCCCGGCGGCATGATGTTCCCGGACAAGGCGACCATGTACCTCTCGGCGATCGAGGATCAGGAGTACAAGGACGAGAAGATCGGCTTCTGGGACGACGTTTACGGCTTCAACTACTCGTGCATCAAGGACATTGCGCTGCGCGAGCCGCTCGTCGACACGGTCGACATCAAGAGCGTCGTATGCGATCCGTACCCGATCAAGCAGCTCGACCTGCTCACCGTCACCAAGGAGGAGCTGGCGTTCGAGTGCGACTTTACGCTCAACGCCACGCGCGACGACTACGTGCACGCCTTCCTCGGCTGGTTCGACATCAGCTTCGACGCGTGCCACAAGCCCGTCCAGTTCTCCACCGGCCCGCACTCGCGCTACACGCACTGGAAGCAGACCGTATTCTACACCAAGGACGTCCTCGCTCTCAACCAGGGCGACGCCGTGTCCGGCAAGCTCGTCTGCAAGCCCAACGAGCGCAACAACCGCGACCTCGACATCACCATCGACTACACCGTCCACGGCGCCACCGCCGCATCAGGCCGCATGGAGTACAAGATGTCCTAGTCGCATCCCTCTAATCACGATCATCCACTTGTACATACACACACACGCACTACACCTTCATCGCATAGAGAACGTTGCTGTTCGGCAAAAGTTGGTCGGGTATTGCACTAGCAGCTTTCAGAAAGAGACCACCTTGGCTGAGGACTTGTGCTTCTTGGCTGGTGGGTCTGCCGACTTGCTCTCCTGTTCGACCTGGACACGCTTGCGCGCAAAGCTGTGGAAGTCGTCTTCGTCTCCGCCGTTGGCGTTGGATTCCTTGGTGGATCCAACGATGACCTGGTGGACGAGGCTCTTTGCGCCCTTGTCGGTGTTGCGCTTGCCCTCGTTGCGCAGCGAGAGCGGACAGTCCTTGGCGAGATGTTCGACGGACGAGCAGAGCTTGCACGAGCCTCCCTCTGGGTACACGCCGCGGCCGGCGTTGTTGGGGCACTTGGACGAGAGGTGGCCCTTGGCGTGGCAGATGAAGCAGGTGGCGTAGGGGAGCTCGTCGTGCTTCAGCGCCGGCTTGCGACACTTGGAAAGCGTATGCTCGGTCGAGCCGCAGCGGAAGCAGATGCCCACAGCGTCGCGACCCACCATGGGTGCATCGGCGCGGTCCGACTTGAGCGCGATCGACTGCGCGTCGAGCGCGTTGGGACAGTCCTTGGCCGAGTGACCCATGCCGCGGCATGCGAAACACTTGAGCTTGGCCTGTCGCTGCTCGGCACGCTCCTCGCGACGCGCATCGCGACGATCCATGCGCCTCTGCTCGTCGTTCTGACCCCATCCGTTGCTGGCGCTGTTGGCGGCAGAGTAGCCGGCGCGTGCGCCCCATCCGCCGTCGCCACCGTGCGAGGCCGAGGGAGCAGACCAGTCTTCGCCCTTGTGCCGAGACTGCCACATGGTGTCGGTCTGCGGAGCACCCAGACGGATGAGCTGACCCTTTGGTCCGTACTCGAACGAGCCAAACATCTGCTCCACCTGTCGCTCCACGTCGCGCGCCATCTTCTGGAACCGCTTCTTGCTCTCGTCGTTCTTGGCCTTCTTCATCTTGAGCTTGAGCAGCTTGGCGCGTTTCAGCAGCTTCTCCACTGTCGGCGGCTCCGCGTCCTTTGCTGACGCTTCTGAATCGATGGGCTCCGAAGTGGCTGGGGCATCTGGCTCGGATGGCGCAGCCGAGGTGGATGCGGCAGGCTCTGTGGTCGCTGCGTCGGCACCAGTCTCGCCGTCGACACCATCTGCCTCGTCGCTCACATCCTTCTTCGACTTCCTGTCCTTCTTTTCCTTCCTTTCCTTTTTCTCCTTCTTGCTCTTCTTGTCCTTGGATGGGGAGTCGGATGCTGACTCGGCGACAGGCTCGACCTTGACCGGAGAGGAGGATGCCGAGGCGACGGTGTAATCGTGCTCGGGCTCCGAGTCGGAGTCGACCATCTTCTTGGCGAGCGAGTGCCTTCCGTCCAGCTTGGTGTATCTCGTCATGGGGTGTGTGTGTGTTTTTGCGCAGATGTCGGAGGGGATGGACGTGCTGATGATGGACGTGGACGAGCAGAGCAGCTGAGTCGGTCGGAAGCGCCGAGGCCAGGATGTCGTTTGGCCGCTCTTCTGCTCTTCTGCTCCACAAAATTTTCCCAAAACTTTCGGGCTGCAGCCGACCGGGCGTTTCTTCGCAGGGTCCAACGCCGTGCCTTTTTTTTCGAACGGGATGTCCGATTCACATTCTAACATCTTTCGGAATTTCCGCTTCGCCGTGCCGGTGGAGGCCGAGACGAGAGTGAGTTCGGGCCACGTCGACATGCAATCCAGACTGAGCCTTGCTCGCAGTGGAGCTTCGTGCTCACCACCTCCATCCATCTTTGGCCGCACCCCAACGACACACTCACGATGGACGAGATACGCAAGATCCCTCCCGTGACGCGCACCATCCTCGGCGCCACGGGCGCAATCACGCTGCCATGCATTCTCGCCATCACCTCTCCGTGGCGCTATGCGCTCTCTTGGCCGCTCGTCATCTCCAAGTTCCACCTCCACCGCGTGGTCACCTGCTTCTTCTTTGGCGGCAGCGGCCTCAAGCTGCTGTTTGACGTTTTCCTCATCTTTCGCAACAGTACCGATCTCGAGCTCAACCACTTTGGCAGACGCACCGCCGCGTACACCTGGGCGCTCCTCGTCATGGGCACCGTCATCCTCGCCATCAATTATCCACTCGGCTCGCCCATCCTCTTCGGCCCCATGCTCAACGCCCTCGTCTACCTGTGGAGCAGGGCGAACCCGCACAGCAGCGTGTCGTTCTTCGGCATGGTCAACTGCCCCTCCCGCTGGCTCCCCTATGTTTACATCGGCATCGACCTGCTCCAGGGCGGACCGGGGCTGGCGATCCAGAGCGCAACGGGACTCATCGCAGGCTACGTGTACTGGATGCTGGACCAGGTGCTGCCGGGTCAGCAACGCAGGCGACGCGGGAGCTACATTCCCACGCCTGGTTTCCTCGAGAACTTGCTGCCGGATTCGCTCGATCCATCGCTCGAGGGGCAAAATATGGGCAACCGAAACGCTCGCAGAGTGGCAGGAGGCACCGTGTGGAACGCGGCTCGTGACCGGGGCAACCGGCTCTCCGACACCGGTCCAGCGAGCCCACGCCCCACGAGCGTCGCCTCGGCGCTGGGCGCAGGGACAAGGTCAACACTCTCGGCGCTGAACCCCTTCCGCGGCTCGCGGTCTGCATCGCAGACCACCGGTCCGAGCCGCGAAGAGATGCTCGCTGCAGCAGAGCGAAGGCTGCGCGCCAGTGGATCCTCGTCGATCGTCGGCCGCAATGCTGCCGAACGCACGCCGGCAAAGCCGGCAGGATCCAACACGCCCGGATCCACCAGTCTTAACGCGCGCCCCGCCGCCACCTCGGCCACTACCGCGAGTGCGAATCTGAGAAAGACGGCGGCGGGAAGTGCGCAGTCCAACATGTTCACCTTTGGCCAGCTCAACGACTCGTCGCGTGCACACCAGCAGCACGAAGAAGACCATAGCTCCAGCGGGGGTGCGGTAGCCGAACAGCGTCGGACACCCAAAGGCAAGGCGAAAGCACGCGATAGCGATGACGAAGAAGAGGCACCACCAACAGCAGGCTATACGTGGGGATCCGGCGGCCAGCGTCTAGGCGATTAGAAACCTTTGCAATGCAGTATGACTCTAGAGGTCAGTCGTGCCGACGGCTTGGATGAGGAGTGTGTAGAACTGGGTGGCCTTGACGAGCGCATGGATGGGAGTGGCTTCGTCGACGGTATGGATGTTTTCGTCCCCGCCTTTGATCGGGAAAGGCCGGTCGGAGCCTGGGCTGAAGCGGAAGACGTGGCGCGTGAGGTTCCAGTAGCTCTTCGTGTCGGTGTTCCCGCCCATCACATCCGGTGCAACGAGGATGCCAGGCCACACTGCCCGGATCGTACCCTGTAGCAGCTTCCACGGCGCACCATCCAGCGGCGTATACGGTGCCGGTTCGAGTGCGGATTCAAACGCATCCGACAACACCACCCTTCCCTCGGCATGCCCCTTAGACGCACCGGCCACCGTCGACCATGCACTGCCATTACCCTCGACGCTCAGCCCCAAACGATCAGCCACGGGTCGAAGGACAGCGTGTACGTGCTCGCGCACAGCCGCTGTGGACGAGGTAATGTCGATGCGGTGATTGATCACCGCCGACGCCTGTTCGGGCAGCGCATTGATCTTGACGCCACCCGCGACGAGGTCGACCGCCTGTGTGGTCTGGAATCCAAATCGCTGGTTCCGCGACATGAGCCCCAACACCTTGTCCGCCTGCTTCTGCACCTTGCGTTTCGCGCGTTTCGTGTGCTTTCGCTGCAGAACAGCGAGCTTCTTCAGCGCGGCCGACAGCTTGGCATCTGCCTTGGGCGCATCCCGCGTACACTGCAGATACTGTAGCCCCGGATGCACCTTGTCGGTGTGCGTCACATCGAGAACCGGCTCGTACGGATCAGACTCGATGGCAGTAATGAGCTGCGCAAGCATGCCGATGGACGTGTGTTTGCGAGGCGCCGAAGAGTGGCCGCCAGGAGTATGCACGGTGACCCTCACATCGAGGTATCCCTTCTCGGCCACAGTCGGTGCCGCAACAGCCATGCCGAGGCCAAGCTCGATGCTTCCGCCCTCATCGACGATGAGCGCGACGCCGTCCTTGCCGTAGCGCGTCTCGAGGAACGCTGCGAGCTTCTCGCCGCCCTGCGTGCCGGAGCTCTCTTCGTCGAACCCGAATGAGGCGACCACGGTGCGCTGCGCCTGGTAGCCGGAGCGCAGCACGCTCTCGAGCGTGGCAAGGATCGAGACGAGCGACGCCTTGCAGTCGCTCGCGCCGCGTCCCCACACGAGGCCGTGGTCGTGGTCGATGAAGCCCGAGAACGGCGCATGCGTCCAAGCGCCTACAGTCTCGGGCTCGACGGGCACGACATCCTGGTGCGCCATGAGTACGAGCGGAGGCAGCGACTCGTTGGTGCCTGGAAGAGTGTACACCAGTCCCCACTCGTTGACCTTTTCGAGACGCACGCGCGAGTCGGGCGCATGCACCAGAGGGAACGCACTGCGCAGGTACGCGTGCAGAGGAGCAAACACCGCCTCCCATCGAGCCGGGTCCTGCTGCACGGTGGGCCAGTCATCGCCGACGGAGGTGTCGACCTGCACGGCCCCCGAGAGCAGCCTGGCGAGGTCCATGTCCGACGGCAGATCGATGTCGCCGTTGGTGCTGCCGTTGCTTGACGGAAGCTCGAACGGAGGTACCTGCGGGCACGCATCGTTGCCGCCAGATGCACCGAGCGTGTGCGAAAGGGATGGCGCAGCTTTCGCCGAAAGACGATTGTGAGAGAGGCTGGTGATGAGCGGGTATCCCGCGATGTGCAGCAGCACAAAGGTCAGGGCGCATTGGAAGGCGAGGATGCACTTGAGCAGGCGTGCATGTCGCTCAAAGAACGACGGCCTACGCAGCGGCGGTAGGCCGAGCTGAGCCTCGCTTGCGGCACCCATCTTGTAAGGGTGTTGCAGTGTTGTCACGTCGAGGGAAGGATTGAATGGTGTTCGGGAAGGAACGGCTAGTGTCGCGTGATGAGGTATAGGCAGGCGATAAGCGAGTCACACAGGCGGCTTCGCTGTTGGACACACGCGGGCCGTGCATCACTCGGCGCTGCGGTTGGCCATCCGCGGATGTGGAGGAAAGGCGATGCAGCAAAGGCGCGCTTGGACCCTGAAGACCGAGTTCTCCGCACTCTCCGTCCGCTGCCGAGCCCACCTTTCGTGGAGACCACCATATCGGCTTGAACGGCATCCGTCCCGCGTGGTTGTGTCGGCTGCCGCACGCATATGTGGACGGAGAGGGGATGACGCGTGCACTCCCCGCCGAGCTGCTCGCGCGGATTGTCGCATACCTCTTGCCATCGATCGACGCATACGCCTCGACACTTCCGCATCCTTCGGGCGCTGATCTCGAATACGCTCCGTCGGTGCCAAGCAGCACGAGCTCGGATCTGCTCTCGGTATGCCTGTCGTGCTCTCTCCTGCACGAGCTCGCGCAGGATGCCCTGTACCGCGCGCCGCTCCTGCGCACGCTCAAAGCGCTCATCCTCTTGGCGAACACGATCGCGGCTGATACCAAGCCACGCGCATCTCCAGGCTCCAGTCGCAGTGCTTCGGGACATAGAGCGGCCATGGTGCGTGCCATTCATCTGCCGCCGGGCGACGGACTGCTGCAACCGGGCGATACGCTCGCCGACCAGAACGGCTACAAAGACAGCCTGCGCGTCCTGTTTGACCACACATCCGAGCTCGACTTTATCTGGCTCGAGCATCGGCAGGCGGGAGCCGCATTCCTCGAGCTGCTCCATCCGCGCACCGTCTGCCGTCCACGCCGCCTGACGCTGTCCAATCTGTCGTTTTCGGCGCCGCCGTTCTCGAGCATTGAATCGCTTGCGCCGCTCTCGAAGCTCACGCATCTGCACCTGATCAAGATCGTACCTCCCCCGGCGCTGATCTCGTTTCTGGTGGGTGAAGCGATCCATGCGGAAGAGCAGGGCAACGTGCCCGAGAGTATCAGCAAAGGCCTCTCTCCCTGTGGATCGCTCGAGTGCCTTCGTCTTTCGCTGCTACCGCCCGATGCGCTCGTCGAGTTCGAGGCGTATGTGGCGTGGAGAAGGGCGTGGAAGGAGTACGAGCAGCTCGATGCTCATGAGCAGGCGCAACTGCCGGCGCCAAGAGCACCGCTAGGTCCGGCAAGGCGGTTTGCTGTGCAGGAGGCTCTGTATGATCTGGGTGTGCGTGCCGCCCGTTTGCCTCGTCTGCGCCTGATGCTGCTCGAACTGAGCCCGCTCGGACCACTCCCGCCTCCACCATCACTTTTTAGCACAGCACGACAATCCACTGTGTCACTTGAAGCAGTGCTGGAGGATCGACGTGCGCAAGTGTCCGACCAACACACCTTCCGTGCCTCGATGCGCACGATGCAGCACCGCCAAGAAGCAACGACGGATGACGACGGAGGCTTGGGTCAAAGCGAAACAGCACCCATGCCCACGAGGGAGGAGCTGCGGACGGAGGAGCGCGATCGATACTGGCATCTCATCGAAGCGGGCAAGCATGCACTCGTGCGTTTATGGGGCGAGAGCTGCGACGAGCTGCCGGAGCTGAGGGTTGTATGCGCGCGACCCAACGGACACGACCGTCGCGAAGGCTTTTTGGATTATCACTGCCAGACTGCCGCTGCGGCGGGTGCCGATGTGGGNCGCGCGACCCAACGGACACGACCGTCGCGAAGGCTTTTTGGATTATCACTGCCAGACTGCCGCTGCGGCGGGTGCCGATGTGGGATGTTGGGCCGACGCCGACGTGTTTGAGCTGGTCGACCACTCGCCCTTTCTCTCCTATCGTGCCGACGACCTCAGTCGGGCGTGGTATTGGACGGGCGAGCTGCCGCGCTCGACGACGAGGGCTGCTGGCGAGACAAAGCTGATCCCATCACTAATTCCATTGTGATCTCCCGCTCAATTGTTCGGCTCGAGACCGAACCTTGGCTGCGCAGTGTGATTTGAAAGAGAGGCGGCGTGTGGCGACGATGTGACCTTGGAGAGGACGCCTTGCGCAAGGTCCTGATCGGAGCGAACCTATCACCACTCTGATCACCGGAGAAAGAGCGCCGTGAATTAAGCTTGAATGCGCAGACTCAACTTGAGCTTAGTCGCAACCGCCTCTCCATCCTCTCATCTGCCTTCGAGCGCGCACATGTGACGGTCCGCCTGGCACACCTCACTCTCCCGCAGCTAGATTGCCATTCTCGTCACCTCTCTGACAAGCCACATCTTTCTGAGATTGCAGCGAGCTCCGAAGGATAAATAGCCAGCACCGCGAGACCAAGCGCTTGCACGAGGACCACCATCTCCCATCGAGATGGACTACTCCTACTCCCGGTCCTTCCTTCACTTTCTCGTGCCTTCTTGCACAAGCCTAGCAATGTTGAGCACACTTCCCACCGAGGTGCTCGAGCGCATCGTGGCCTACGTCGGGTCGAACGACCTTTACGATTCCACCTCCCCTCATCCATCTGGCGCTGACCTCGACTACAAGCTCTCGCTCAACTCCGACCGCCGCAAGGACCTGCTATCGCTCGCACTCGCTGGGACTTGGCTCCACAAAATTGCGCGCTCGGCACTTTATCGTACAATCCACATCAGGACTCGCTCCTCCTTCCTCCTCTTCGCGGACGCCATCTCCCTGTCGTCCCTCGACGATGAGAACGAAACCGCTACAACGAGTCGAGCAGCCTCGATTCGTGCGGTCATGCTAAGAGACAAATGGGCGCACCACGCGCAAGTCGAATGGTCCACCTTTCGTGACAAACTACGATCCTTCTTCGATCACGCGACTCAGCTCGACGTGGTCGCTCTCGAGAGCGACCCAGTTTCGTCTGTATTCTTGGACATTCGGACCATCTGCCGCCCGCGCCGGGTCACGCTGGCACTAGCCTCGAAAATGCCGCAAGACGGAGGCTTCAACGCCGATGCTTATGCGCCACTCTCTGAAGCGACGCATCTCCGCTTTCTGAATGCCACGGCCGCTCTGTCATTTATCAGATACCTAGTGAGCGAGGCAGATGCTGCCAAGCAGCTTTCGCTCTGCGGATCGCTTCAGTGTCTGCGCCTCTCCCACCTATGCCGATGCAGTCTACATGGCTTTGCGTCATGGATCGAGCGGAACAAGCAAATGGACGAACATGAAGAGGATTCAGCCTATTTGCAGCCGGGTCTCGTAGATCCCGACGTGCTACTTCAGTCGTCGCTTTCAATCCTCGCCAGATATAGCGACCGCTTGCCTCACTTCCGCTTGCTGCTGCTTGACTTTCGCGCATCGCAACATCCTCCTCTGAGATTTCCATTTCAGTGGGAAGATTACAAGGATGCCTCTCTCAAGGATACGCTTCGGCGGGACGCGCAGACCAAAGCAGCGTTCGAGCCTCGACGAGCGCAGCCAGCCGACGTACACTACTTCCACGCCGCAATGCGCACGGTGCAAGGCTTGAGTGCGAAGCGTGTACCCAACGTAAGCACCAGCGATGCTGCTAGACAATATGAAGAGATGCCACGCACGCTTTCTCTGGACGAATTTTGGCGCGAAATGGAAGCTGGCAAACACGCATACGAGCGTTTGTTGGCTGAAAAGAGCGATCGGCCGCCGGAGCTGCGGATCGTGCAAGGAAACCAGCGGATCGTGCAAGGAAACCACAAAAAAGCAAAAGCCTATCCTTTGGACGAGATTGACTTCTACTGCCAGACTGGCCCCGGGGCAGACGACGCGGATGTGGGCTGCTGGGCGGACCCCGACGTATTCGACCTGGTCACTCGTTCGCCCTACCTCTCATACCGGCTGCATGAAAGCGGCACGGCATGGTACTGGACCGGCGAGCTCCCACGCTCCACGACCCGAGACGGCGTGACCACATACATCCCTTGTTGGGTCCCGATGGACCCGCGCGAAACTTCGCAATGAACATGCTTTCCATCACGCTTGCCGTGTGCGGTGGCCACTCAGGTCGAAGTGCGCGAGATGTGCGGGAGATCTGAGCCAGCCGTGAAGCGGCGGTGCATCCGCAGACGGATGGAGTGCATCGCCTGGTGCGGGTGCGGGCGTGTTGATGGCGGTAGCGCGGGTGGCGCGTTCGAGGAAGCTGTCGACTGCCTGCTGTGCGGCATCGCGTGGACCTAGCACAGCATCTTTGGCCTGACGATACGCCATCGTTCCTCCACCTAGGCATCCTTGCTTGGCATTTGCGTACACCAGTCCATCGGGAACGCTTCTTCCAGTTGCGCGCATCGTGGCAACGACGGCACCGAAGTAATTGAGCCGACACACGCCCGATCTCGCAGCGGGCTTGAGTGGTTGTTCGGCTGCGCGCTTGGTGGGTGCGCCCATCTTTGTACCTGCTGCGAGGTTCTCGGTCTTTGCCTTCTTCCCCTTGCCCTTCCCCGTCGGGTCGGCAATATGAACGACGGAGTTGACGCAGCTTTCTGGTTCGGCCTCTGTCGAGCTAGTTTGCAGCTTTGCCTCTTTGCTGTCTGGATACACGGCCTCTGACCAGCCGACCTGAATCGAGCGTCTTCCATCCATCGCTCGCTCGAGGGCACGCTTACAGTCATCTGCCAGCACGAGCTTGAGTTGGTCCACGCGCGCTTCTGCATCCGGGTAGGAGGGCGGAAAGATGTATCGCAGCGGATGGTCGGCGATGGTGACGGAGCTGATGTGAACCGGTGCGATGAGCGCAGATAGCAGTGCGCCTTGGATACCGACACCGGGCGCGTTCCAGAGCGCGAGCTTGTCGCTGCACGACATGCAGATGCTCGGCGGCGCATCGGGGCGGCCTGGCTTGGTGCGCAGTGATGCCGACGTGCCTGGTTGCTGTGTCGAAGACGCCCGTCCTCGCACCACGTCCGCTGCGCCAGACCGGCTCGAACTAGTCGTCAGACCGTCGGTGGAGCCGCATAGATAGCGGTTGAGAAGCTTGTCCGGAGTTGGCGCGCCGGGCTTCTGAGCCGCAGCATCTTGGGCGGCGCGCTGGAACTCGAGCAGACGGCTGGAAGCCGCTCCACATGGCAGTGTCGATACGTACAGGTGGCATTGCACGCCCGACCGCAGCCGCCATCTCTTCGCCCCGTCGAGTGCGTCGGAATGCTCTGGTTCGAAGAGCGAGTTGACACCGCTACCGGGCGAAGTGTGTTCTTGTTCGAGGCGGTGGAGGAGCCATAGACGCGCCGCCCTTCGTGCGAGGACCTCGGCATGCTGGTCGTGTAGCACGTCGCCGTGCACTGTTAGCGAAGCGTACGGAAGGCAGCGCAGCCCCGTTGCGAGCGATATGAGCGTATACTCGCGCGGCTTGGAACCGTCCGTCGAAGGGAAGGACAGAGCAAAGGCGGCCAGCACGGTCCATTCGAGTCGGCCGTTGGATTTGACGCCCGGTTTAGCGCCGCGCGGCGGCAGCCCGAGGTAGGTCGACAGCGCCAGCGAGGCGATCTGCTCGTGATCGACCGCCTCCGCGTCCGCGGTAGCAGCCTCGGTCGACATGGCTCCAGCGTCCGAGTTGTGCAAGAAGGAGGGCCTCCTCCGACGCCGCCCTTCAGGGTCCATCGGAAGATGCACATCATCCGACTTCCGAACGCTTTTTCGAAACAGGACCATGTTAGAGCTTGAATGCTGGGCTGCAGCTGACGTGCCAAGAGCTGTCCGGTTGTGGAACGTTGCACCGATTCATGTGCAGCAGCGTCACTGTGCACACGCTGCGCCCAACGGCCCGTTGCTATTTCCAGCCAACGCTGCCTCTGCTCAGCCATGTGCCCCTTTGAACCCTGTCAGCCACGTTGGCTTACACCCACATCATGCTCGGTCTCACCACGTCCCATCCTCCATAGACACGCTTCCATCCAGCAAGATACCCGGGGTCGACAATACGGTGCATAAAGTAGCCTGCGTAGGGCACATAGATACCAGCCGAGATGACCGAACCACAACACCATCCGCATCTGCCGCATATCGGCAATGGCCACCACGATGGCGAAGTGCATCACCACAGGAAGCTGAGCGACAGGCTAGAGGCGCGCGGTGAGGCAGATGGAAGCCACTCGCCGCCGTCGTCGCGATCGTCTTCATCGGACGACGGTGTGCCTGCCACCGGAGCCGACGACACGGCAAAGCAGAACAGCAACGCGACAGGGTCAGATAAGCAGTCGCTCGGATACGACATCAAGCTGACGTGCCGCTCATCCGATCCAGCCTCCGACTCGCAGACGCTTTCGCCCGACGAGCTGCCCGAGCACTGGGTGCCCACGATGGTCTCGCAGCTCAACCGCGCCACCTCGAGCGCGTTTGGCCAGCTCACCTCGGGCGCTTCCTCGCCGCGTCGCAACTCCACCGCCGACCGCGGCGGTAAGGACGAGCAGGAGCGCGAAAGCAGCGAGCACCACGTGCTGCCGCGCCTGACGTTCTGCAACCCGTGGAGCAAGAGCTTCCGCAAGCCGGGCGTGAAAGAGCTGCTCAACGGCGGGCTCAAGTGGGGTCTGCCGGACAGCTACACCGAAGGATCTGGACGCGGATCCGTACGCGCGTCCGGATTCAAGTCGCAAAAGAAGGCGCAGCGACAGTTGCAGCTCGCCAAGCAGCAGGACGAGGAGCTCGGAGAGGGGTGGGATGACGTCGGCGTTGTACAACCTCACTGGGGTTGGCCATTGTCGGCCCTGCAAAACGAAGTGAAAGACATCCGACACACCAACACTTCCGGCGGCGACGTCACAGGGCCCAGCGATGGGGGCGAGGCGGACTTCAGAGCCAAGGAGCGTGCGGTCAACGAGTGGTGCGACCCAACCGACCCTTCTCGTCCTGCGGCACGGGTGACGTGGCTCGGCCACGCAAGCACGCTGCTCCAGCTTCCGCCGCTGGGTGGCCCCAGTCCCGGCGAAGGGAGGGAAGATGTGTCGGGTCGATCGCTCAACATCCTCTTCGACCCGATCTTTAGCGAGCGCTGTTCGCCGTCGCAGTCTGCGGGGCCGCAGCGCTTCACGCCCGCGCCGTGCCGCGTTTCCGACTTGCCTCCCATCGACATTGTGGTGATTTCGCACTCGCACTACGACCATCTGGACTACCACACGTTCCGGGAGCTGCGGCACGTGCGCGGCGACCGCATCCACGCCATCGTGCCGCTCGGTGTCAAGGACAAGCTGACGGGCGCGGGCGGGTTTGGTTGGCACAAAGACCAGGTCAGCGAGCTCGACTGGTGGGACCACGCCACTCTCACATCCACCGGAACTGGGTCGGCCAAAGTGATGTGCACGCCCGCGCAGCACGGTAGCGGACGGGGGGCGGGGGATAAAGACGCGAGTCTGTGGGCGAGTTGGGTGGTCGAGTGGAACAACGACGGAGGGCGGTTCGCAGCGTTCTTTGCGGGGGATACCGGGTTAAAGTTCCACCACGACAGTCCGGAGAAGCGGCACAAGTATCCGGCGTGTCCGGCGTTTGGCGAGATTGCGCGTCGATGTGGACCATTTGACCTGCTGCTTCTGCCTATCAGTGTGGGTAGCTCGTTGAGCTACTTTCGGTCGTGGGATCCGTTCCCGCGTGCCATGTCGCCCTTCCCGCGTGTTTCGGGTACACTGACGTCGAGCATCCACATGGACCCGTACGACGCGGTCGAGTGCCACACCATCTTCAAGGCCGAGGAGAAGAAGGCGAGCAAGGTGGTCAGTGTGGCGGTACATTACGGCACGTTTGTGCGCAACGAGGAGCAGACTAGGGCGGATGTACGAGAACTGCGGCAGGCGTGCTCCAAGCAGCGGCTGCGATTCGCGCGCGTGCGCGACGAAACCGCACTGCTGCATTCACAGTCCAAGGACGACGTCTTTATCGTGGCGGATCAGGGCAAGACGATCTGGTTACCCATCCACACGTCCTAACCTCACACAATCATGCTGGAGAAAACGAATGTGAATGGCAGAAAGTGCAAAGTACAGGAGGGAGGCTAGATGTTTTTGTTCTTGTGGGCGTTTGTACCGATGCGGTGAATCTGGAAGATCCTACCCACGATCCAGTCCTTGACCTTGGTGGGGAGGTAGTAGGCGATCCAGACGGTGAGGCTCTTCTTGCCCGTGAACAGGTAGGCGCCCGGGTTGGAGGCTGCGACCCACTTGCGCACGTTGCGGGCAAAGGTCTCGCTGGGCGTGGGTTCGCCCTGCTGGCTGAACTCGGCGCGGAACTTGACGAGGTCCTCGACGTGCTTGTAGAGCGAGTCGGCAGGCAGGTATCCGAGATCGTCCGGATCCGAACCGCGCGGTGCGGTGGGCAGATTCTTCTGCGTGTTGTCGGCGATCGACGACTTGATTGCACCGGGAGCGACGACGACCACTTTGATGCCGAAACCGGCGAGCTCGAGACGCAGCGTGTCCGAAAGCGCATGAACGGCCGACTTGGACGCAGAGTAGGGCGCACCGAACGGCATGCATGCAATCGCAGCTACCGAGCCGATGTTGACAACCACGCCCGAGCGACGACGGATCATGGACGGCACCGCAGCCTGCGTCACCGCAATCAGTCCAAAGAACTGCCGAGCCAAGTTTCAAAGCCAAAGGCAGTCAGCACTAGCTATGGGCGAAGGCGCAAAGAGGGGGATGAACGACTTACGTTTGCATCGAAAGTCTTGCGGATGTTGTCGATGGGTGTTTCGATGAGCGGGCCGACGGCGAGGTTGACGCCGGCGTTGTTGATGAGGATGTCGATGCGGTCCTTTGTGCAGTGGCGGATGTCTTCGAATGCGGCCTTGATCGACTGTGTGTCTGTCACGTCGAGCTGGACGCGCTCGATGGTCGCCGGCAGCTCGCGCAGCGCCTCGACGTTGCGCGCCGTGGCAAACACGCGGTAGTGCGGCTGTGCGGCGAACTCGATGGCCATGGAGCGGCCGAGGCCGGACGAGCAACCGGTGATGACAACCACCTTGCGCGGGTCGTTGGCGGTGATGAGTTCGGCCATGCTTGCAAATGCTGAGAAGGAGGATGGTGGGTGTAAGGCAGGGGGGCAGTGCGCAACAGTGGGGGAGAGAAGCTTCTTCTAAAATTTCAGACTTTGGTGGGACAGGAGGTGCCTGAGGTTGGACGGCGTGACGTATGAAGCCGAGCCGGTCGCCGCCCATTATTATTCCCCACCAAATCTGCGATTTCACGAATCCGAACCCCGGCTTTGCACAATCGGCGCACACAGCCGAGACGATCCGCTCTTCTCCCAGAATTCGCCGAACTGAAGTTCCAAAAAAGTGAGCCCGAAAGTGCGCCTGAAAAATCCACTTCCCCGCCTCCCCCACCTCTCCGCCTCCACACGACACTCTTCCTCTCGCCACCACCGCACGGTCCTCTCTCACCATGCCGCCTCACCATGGCACCGACTCCAACAGCGACAGCGCATTCTTTCCGTCGCCGCATGGTCCTTCGCTCGAAGGCGTAGCCGCGTTGCTCGCTTCCCCTGCCACACGCAACGTCGTCGTGCTCGCCGGCGCAGGCATCTCCACATCCGCCTCCCCACCCATCCCCGACTTTCGATCGCCCGGCACGGGTCTCTACTCGAACCTGGCGCAGTACAACCTGCCATATGCAGAAGCGATATTTGACATCGGCTACTTCCAACGCAAGCCGCAGCCGTTCTTCACGCTCGCCAAGCACCTATATCCGGGCAACTTCAAGCCGGCGCTGGCGCACTACTTTTTGGCGCAGCTGCAGGCGCGCAACAAGCTGCTGCGCGTCTTCACCCAGAATGTCGATACGCTCGAGCGCATCGCTGGCGTAAGCGAGGAACGCATCGTCGAAGCGCACGGCAGCTTTGCCACGTCCACGTGCATCGCATGCAAGCATCGTGTGGACCCCGAATGGATCAGGACCAAGGTGGAAAAGGGAGAGGTGGCAAGGTGTCCAAGATCCAAGTGTCCCGGTCGCAAACGGGGCGAGGGCGGACTGGTGAAGCCGGACATTGTATTCTTTGGCGAGAGTCTGCCGTCGAGATTCTTCCGATGCATTCCAGACCTCAAGAAGGCCGATCTGCTCATTGTGATGGGTACGTCGTTGCAGGTACAGCCTTTCGCATCGCTCATCGATGCCGTACCCGCAGACTGTCCACGTGTGCTGCTCAACCTCGAAAAGGTCGGCGAGATCGCCAGCTCGGATGGCTATGCGGGCGGTAGCATGGGCGGAACCATGTTTGCGGAATCGGGATTCGATTTCGATGGCCTCGCCTATGGCGGCAGACGAAGCACGCGCGATGTCTTTTGGCAGGGCAAGGCTGACGATGCAGTACAAAGGCTCACGCAACTCATGGGTAAAGAGTGGCACGAAGAGCTGCAAAGTCTCAAGGCCGAAGGGCATCGAAGCTTAGACGACGCCAAGCCGAGCCGAACAGAGGCGGAGGAACCAGAACAGTCCAAGCCGCCCCCTAACGAGGTTCGAGCTGCAGACAAGGCGGTTACAGAGCCAGACGAGGTCGACCAACTCGCTGCCGATCTCGAGTCGAAAGCCAAGCTCAAGCCCGAGCTCAAGCCCGAGCGCGAGCCAGATCCATCTTCAACCAACGATTCCAACAAGGAGTAGCACATACAAGCCTGCATTCGGAGCGAGTGGTCGAGGGAATACATGTAATCTACATTCTCAATGGAT